GTAACTGTTGTTGTCTACTGACATTCGTCAATTAATAACTCTCGTAAAACATGTTATGAAATACCGTGGTATAATTCCACTCATTTCATCGCTAATATGTATTAACTAACCAACTATTCAAGAAACTAATGTTTCTTGCAAATCTCTATGAAACAGACATCGTTGGCTGCCTGAGGTACTGTAGCGGATCTCGCTACATAGCACTAATATTATGCATAACATATCACTAATTCTTATATTTTTCATACTAACATAATATAACTAATTTTTATGTTTCTTATACTAACATTAATATTAACACTCACAATACACATTAAAGTCGTACATTTTAAATCATATTAAATAATTATAACATCATCACGAGAGTTTCGGAGAAAACAGCTTTATCGATGGCAACATCTCGAGCCCCTCTTGCTCACTGCTTCTTTGATAGCCTCTCGTTCTATTCGCCTCCTGACTTCGATTCGTCAACATCTCCCATCACTACATCATCTGTTTCCTGCAACGCATAAAATCAAGATCAAGCGAAATCTCCCGCCAGTAAATCCAATTATTCCGGCCAGCACATAGGCCAGCCTCGAGTCTTCGACATCGGCGTCAGTTGCTTGTCTTCCCGCCAACTCGGGCGCCGCCATCTTGGATCCTGCCGACGCTCATCCATGGATATTCAGTGAACAGTGCTAATGTGATACTCAGTTAACTCTGCCTAATATTCCGTGAATTTGTGAACCTTCTTCCACGTGAACACCACAGTGCTAATGTGATACTCAGTTAACTCTGCCTAATATTCCGTGAATTTGTGAACCTTCTTCCACGTGAACACTCAAACAACTACGTCAGCCTCACAACGTGCATTGAATAAGCTAATGTGATATACTCAGTTAACTCTGTCTAATATTCCGTGAATTTGTGAACCTTCTTCCACGTGAACACTCAAACAACTACGTCAGCCTCACGACGTGCATTAAGTAAGCTCGCCAACGTCTCGCCACTCAACCACGCGTAAATCAACGCTACAACCCAACTACGGTGGCCCTTGGACGCGCATCAACCTCCTGCATCAAAACGAGCAGGTCACGTGAGCTGAGCTAATAAATAACCTAACAATTTATTGTGTGTTCATTTCTCCCAACCAAATTCGTCCTGCCGATCTCTAGGTTTCTGTCCGTGCCTTGGTAAACAATTCAGGTTAACTAGCCAGGCCATTCAATTCTCTGATAGGAGTTAAATAATTTAATGTGGAGTGGTAAAAGAAAACCCCCACAGTACGTTGGCTGAGACTCGTCTAACAATATTTATGTGCAATGGTTGCACTAATGAGAATTCTGAATTCACAATTAGTGTGTACGATTTCTTATATTAAACTGACGAAATGTTTATTTTATATAAATTAAGTTGTTAATTAATTGTTTTATACAGCTAATCCAACGCAAGCACTTGATTTTTGTGAGGTCCTGTACCAGTTTTGAAGAATTTCCATGGAATTTATAGTCATTACAATTTTTGTTATTTAAAATCGCATGAAATAATCGCACAGACAATAAACAAGTTAGAACGCAACTACGTAAAAATTTAAATGTAATGCAATCGTTATTATTTTTTATTTACCCTACTAGGCTACTATTTCGGTTCTACCTTCTTTTTGATTAAAAATTAAATTTTATTTCGGTCTCAATCGTTATTGTTGATTGCACGGCTACATCCAACGGCAGTTATTATATTTATGATCGAGTTTTACTTCGCACACAGCTGCAAGACATTGCAGTATATATTGCTACAGAGATATTAATGTAAAGAAATTGCTGTATAGAAATTTCTGCAATAGCCATAATCATCGTATTTAATGAGTGAGAAATTTTCAATACCTTCGCCCCTTGCAAGCTCCTACAAGACGGATGGGACTTGCCGTTCACGCAACAAATTGCTTTCATTTGGAGGTCCTATTTATTGGTATTAACTGACTAAAACAATAGTGTCATCGCCGGAAGTGTATGTCAGTGATAAGAAGGCTGATATATCGTCTAGCCCGTGATTGTGAGATTAGAGAAGCGATAGTTTATCTCGAGCACCAGCAAGTTTCTTCTTCTGCTGCTCATAAATTCAGTTGTGGTAATCACTCCTCATCCTGCCTTCTTTGGACCCCCCTTTTCCCGAACCCCACCTGCTTCCTGTTACGAGATCCTCATTTTATTTCTCAATCACGAAATATAATTATGATTATCAGAGTAGTGGTATCTTCATTTAAACCAAAGAGGCTAATTAAATTGTAATTTCAAGTTATAAGTTCAATTAGTTCTATAACGCTTCTCTCAATTCAAACAAACGTTCATTGCCTGGAAGTGTTTGGCAACTGTGTTCACAACACAACGCTCTTTCATTCATTGTGGATGATGCTACTTGCTCGACTCGTGTGAACATGTATAATGTTGGTGTCTAGTGAAGTTATTAATTGCATTTGTATATTTATGTGCTCTGGGAAGTTTTGAAATGCTTTTTATTCGTGACTTGCGTAGTTAAGACTCACTGCATTGTTGTTGCTTTTGTAATCAGCGATGAGTAATGATGTGATCCAGGCAAATCAGACTCATTCGTAGACTTGAAATCAACACACCTACGGCGAATGTGATTGGAAACCTGTAAACGCTATGATTGAAGGAGTGAATTATTCATTGTGATTTAGTTTCATAGGTAGTGGAAAAAGTGCATGTTGCTTGAGGAAAAACTAAAGTTCTGTATATACATTGTTCATTCGAGATTTAATTATAACTTTATTGTCTCCATTTGAAATTTTGATACGTTGGAAATTTAAAAATCGGAATATAATTCATTAAATTAAATATGCCAAGATTGCCATTATGGCATATGGTGCTTGTTCTGTTGACTCATGGTCATGGAATGGGAGAAAGTGATGTATTAATTATTGGACAAAAATGAGGTCCAATCTATGTAAACCTATTCAGAATCAGAAATAGCTGAAATACCTGTTCACTATTGGTTTGTCATGAACTTTGTTGTCTTTGAAGCTTTCAACTTTTCAAGGCAGGTCGGGAAAAGTCCTACTTTTCTCTGAAATATTGTACCTAGCTCTAACAGCATATAATTTCAGTAAGTACCGGTTATGAAATTTTGCAGCTCTACTGGCTTGTAATTTTGATTGATTGAAAAAATTGCAGTTTGCACTTTGCAAAAATGTCATTTCATAAAATTTTAAAATTTTGCAATCTGCATTACTTAACACCGTTGCTGCCAAAATTTCCTGCAGAATGTAATAATTGTAATGAATAATGATAACAAGTCAACCTAAACATTTAGTTGAAGGCTGCTTAGATCGGGCATAGTTGCGGTCACATCTGAGCGGTCAGACTGCATTAACACGAGTTCAGCTTACACAGTAAAGACAAATGTTATTGTTGCCGTTTGACTGTTTTGGGGCAAAATTAGAGATTTGGGGTAACCGGTATTCCGGTAACATGCGCATGGACTTTGTAAATAAATTTGTGGCTTGTAAATGGCTTTTTATGGCCAAGATAAGGAATTCACGGCTTAAAAAAAATGGAATCACGGCTCAAAGAAATGGAATCGCATCTGGCACATTAATAAAACAATGGCTCAAAAAATTCAGTCGCTGCTCGCCAAGTAGATATTTTTCATGCCTGCTTGGAGGCATTGCAAATTTGCCATCAGCCTCAAATTTTAATTACCAAGAAACAAATCTCAAATATTGTGCAGAATTTTCGAAAGTAACCAGTAATAATGCTTGTTTCATAGGCCCATATGCAGGAATGCAGGATGGTAGTTACCCTACTTATGAATAAAATATATCATGTTTCCAAAGTGAAAAATCTATAATTCATTTGGAATCTTGTGGTCTGATTATGCATTCCTGTTAACAATTAGTTAGTACAGGTAATTAATCTGGCCAGACTCTAGCAGCTCTAAAAATGCAGGGAAAGACATAATTGCAGGTCCAATAGAATAGTTAGTAGATATAGTCTGCTCCTGTTCATCAATCATCATGACAGTTCATGGCTGACATAAGTAATTTAATTTAAATGCAAAAATGTATCAATATCAATTTTTGATGAATAAATTGGACAAGGTCTACCAATATTGGATAATGGGCAGAACTAAAAAAAAAATTACAGGTAAAAATGATCATTTTCTGGACATATTAGAAAAGGCAGGCAAAAAGTGTCATTATCCTTATTTTTTGCTGAATTCATCAAGGAATTATTTAATTACATTTCTAGATAAGATATTTATGAATCAGGATATTTATATGCATAAATTTTCCATTATTGTCATTCTAATTTTAGACCAGATAAACAGGATTGTGATTCTCCTACATGTTATGAAATCTCTTGATCCCAAAGTGACTAATTTTTAATAAATTTGTAATCTTCTGTTTAATCATGCACTTTTATTGACAATTGGATAGGTCATAGGAGGTGTAATTCTTCTAGAGGGAGTCTGGTGGTTCCAAATATGGCTGAAAGCTCTACTTGTGGCATTAAATGTAGATCAATTCCACGCCTGTACAGTAATCACACTTTTATTCAATTTGAGGGTATAAATTTAAAATATTTTGAACAAAATAAGAGTTTTATTGCTCAATTGTTCAGTTTTATTTGCTATTTTAGTCTAATCAATCTAGCACTAAGATGCGAAATTCTAAAATCTGGCTGGAGCCACCCATAAATAAGACAAAAATGCAATTAATTTTGCCTTTGAATTATTTATAAAGCAAAAATTATGAAAAATAAAATAATTTTCTCTCAAATTTTCAAAAATAAATTTATTCCAAAAATAAATTTTCTTCAAAAATAAATTTTCTGTAATTGCTCTTTTGTTCTGCAGGCATGTAATGGTCTTGATACATGGAAACCAAGTGACCATTGATTTATATAGCACAAGTAGCAATTAGATGTTCTAAAGATTACTTTGTTGTTTCTGCCCTTAACATATTTCTCTTGTATGCTAATAAAGTTTTGAATTTTCCCAGAGTTGTGATTTGGATTCTCATATTTTTCTTCAATGATGTTTGTTTATCTTACTGAAGTGAGGCAAATTGTTTTGATGAAGCCAACTTTGTTATCTTTTCCAAGCTTTTTTCTGCATTTTTTTGTGTATTGATAAATTCTTATCAATGTAGAGCATGGAAACATATGCCAAACAACATGAAATTGAAAACAACTTTGAATCAATCTCTGGCACCCCTCACCTGAAGAAAAAGTTTGCCGCCATTGATGAAGCTCTTGTGTTTGAGAATGTTTGCAATGATATCTCACAAGCTCCTATAGATCAATATGGCTCTGGTACACTTCCAAACTTGAAGAAGAAGCAACAGCAATCTAACGGCACACTAAAGAAATCTACTGCCGGCAAATCTCTACATTCTATTTTGCCTGCTAAAATATCTCAAGCAAATGACTGTGCTCATAGCATCCATCGTAGTGAGGGATCAATTTCCTCGGGTTTTGTGAGTCATCAGGTGCAGGTCTTTACTTCTAATGGGAACATTAACCCTAACATAAAAGGTAACTTCAGAGCTAAACCCCAAATAAATCAGGGTTATGGGGACCCCAACTTCTGTGACATGGACACGGCTTCATTCTCGGGCTACTCTCAAACATCCAGTAAATTCTCCAGATCTGAGGCCCACAGAACTTCTTACAATGAGAGGAAGAACCACAAAATTTCCATGTTTGGCAGCATTAGAAAAACAAGCCATCACAACATCAGTGACCTCCAGAAATTCACGGCAGCTGAGCCCCTGAGCAAGTCATCCTTAGGGAGCCATGTGGATGGGAATTACCATCCTCTGCATGATGGCCCCAACTTGAACTCCTCCAGGTACAATGAAACACTTCATGGGAGGAAGATTTTCCTCTTCAATGAAACACTTACAATGAAACACTTCATGGGAGGAAGATTTTCCTCTTCAATGAAACACTTACAATGAAACACTTCAGGGGAGGAAGATTTTCCACTTCAATGAAACACTTCAGGGGAGGTAGATTTTCCACTTCAATGAAACACTTACAATGAAACACTTCACAGGAGGAAGATTTTCCACTTCAATGAAACACTTTTCCACGCCTACAATGAAACACTTTTCCACACCTGTACAGTAATCACACTTTTACTTGATTCAAGGGTTTAAATTAAAATATTTTAAATAAAATAAATAAAATAAGAGTTTTATTGCTCAATTGTTCAATTTTATTTGCTATTTTAGTCTAATCAATCTAGCACTAAGATGCCAAATTTGAAAATCTACCTGGAGCCATCCATAAATAAGACAAAAATGCAATTACTTTTGCCTTTGAATTATTTATAAAGCAAAAATCATGAAAGCAAAAATAATTTTTTCTTGAATTTTCAAAAATTGACTTTTTTCCAAGAATAAATTTTCTGTAATTGTTCTTTTGTTCTGCAGTCATGTAATGGTCTTGATAACTGGTAACCTAGTGACTCTCAATTTGTATAGGACAAGTGGAAATTAGATTTTCTGAAGACTAATTTGCTGAGATATGTGCATTTATTTCTCTTGTAATACAATTATTCTCTCAGGTACAATGAAACACTTCACGGGAGGAAGCATCAGCATCACCATCAGAGCAGCTCGAGTCTGGACTTGGATATTGATCGGACAACTTCAGCCCTGGGTGACGGTGGCAAGAAAATCAATGAAGTTTTCTCAGATGTTGGCCGCCCGGGAGCTAATAGACTGCACCGCGAGTTTGGATCACAGGGAAGCATTGATGTCCTCAGTCGCTATAGCAGCGACTGTGACAGCCACAAGGAAGGAGCTAAACCTGATGATGCATCCTGCAGTTCTGGATCTCCTAAAGTCAAGACAAGACGTCTTGCGAGTAAGTCCTTTTTCAAGAAAATCATGAATAGTTCTAGGTCAGATGCTGCTTCCGTTAAGAATCCTGCCTCTCGTAAGAAATCAATGCCATCCTCAGCTAGTCAAGAGTTTGGCTTGAACAAAATAGATGGAGGAGGCAATTTGAATGTAACATTTCTTCAGCCTGCCCCACCAACTGATTCCTCCATGCACTCGACACCAAAGAACATTTCCAAGACCTCAGGCAGCAAGAAAGCCACCACTCTGCTGTGTGCCGGCACAAGCCAGAATGCTGACACAAGTTTCTCAAGCTCGTATGCCAAAGTTGAAGAAGAGGTTGTGGAGTTCAGCTCCCTTGAGTTGGTTCCTGACAGTCGGCTGTCTTCCGTGAAGAAAGCTAAAGGGAATTCTGAATCATTACCTTCAGATAAAAGTGATGCTGGTTTGAGTGACAGTGTTGACAGCTGTGATGGTAATTCAAAAAGCTCTGGTAGATCTCAAAAAAATGAAGCCACATCTTCTCTGGAAAAAAACAACTATAGTACAAACCAAAGCACTTCTAACCTTAGTAAAACAAATAGAAATAATAACATCAATAGCTTTAGTAATTTTAAGTCTAACTCCTCTAGCAATAGTAAACCTAACAAAGACAGTGGCAGCAACAATACTAACTCTGCCTCTAGCATGGCTGGAAACAACAACAACAAAGGAGAACAATACTCATGTGACTCTCCCAACAACAGCCCCTCTAAGTCATATTTCTTCCGTCCTTGCTTTGCACATCACGACGTGCGGTCAATGTCATGTGTGCTGTCCCCTGAACATCTTCAGTTGCTCCTGAACTCAACCACCAGCAACTGTACGTCTGCTACGGGAGCCTCGGCTGCGCACGCGTCCATAAATACAAAGAAAGATGCCAGCACTGATGCCCAGAACAACAACAACAACAGAAGTCCTGAGCATTTAAAATCTCCTTTGGATGCCAATAGCAATGCCGGAACAGATGGAGATACGGATACAGCACAGGGTTCGTCTGATGGCTCCGCTGCCTCACTCGAGTCCCCGGACGCTGTGGATGTGGACACCATCTGCCTGGGGGATGGGAGGGAGAATGAATTGCTTCAGTCGTAAGTCCTTTTTTGGATTCATTTTTCCTGTATTGTTTATTTTTCTTGTATTGTTTATTTTTCCTGTATTGTTGATTTTTATTTTATTGTTTATTTTTATTGTATTGTTTTAAAAAGTATGAATGGGTTATATTGTACAAATACTGACACTGTCTGAAGCACATTGTATTCAGAGAGCTGTTGTAGCACTGATATGTCTTTTTTTTTCTGGGCAAAAATAGCTCAAGATGGCTGACACAAGGAAAGAATGTGCATTGCTTTTTGGACAGATCCTCACTCATTTTTTCTAATGGATAAAATTAAATTTAAATTGAACCTTATTGTCTTTTTGAAATTTATTGCAAATTATAGAACTACAGCCTTACCTTGACTTGTAGCTTTACAAAGTTCTGTATGCTTGAAACAACTTGTATATTTTATAATCAAACAAGAGTTTGTGATTAGTATTAGATAATTCAATAAATAATGGTGCCATATTTCAAGAACAATGGTTTCAAGAACCAAATTAAATAAAATTAATCAAAATTAACTGCTTAATTTAACTTTATTTAATTACAGTCCTTCTCATAATTGTCAATCATGCCAAAATTTTAATACTTTGATGTCTCTTCTTGCCTATGAATCTTATATAACTGTTCATATATTAGGTAATCAGGGAAGAGTTGTGTTTTGAATTCCTTGTACCAATTAAAGTAGAAATAAATTGATGTCTTTGTACCATTTTCACTGAACCTGTAATCTATAATGTTTTTTTATTCATTATATGAAACATACAATTTACTATTATTTAGTGTTACCTATAAATTCATCACCAATTTCAGGTGCCCCTATTTCTACAAAAAAAAACAATTTAATATTATTCATTGGTATAAATGAATTATTAATTTCAGGTGCTGCTATTTATGCAAAAAACATACAATTTATTATTGTTCATTATTATTAATTAACTATTAATTTCAGGTGCCCCTATTTCTGCAAATCATACAATTTTTATTAAATTGTATATTTTTGGTATATTGGTAATTGTATGTTTTTGGTGGTACAAATTATTCATTGGTATAGTAAATTAATTATTAATTTCAGGTTCAGGTTTATTATTGTTCATTATTATAAATCAATTATTAATTTCAGGTGCCCGTATTTCTGCAACGAGTTGGGCGGGGAAGACGAGCGAGTTATCAGCCTCACACGGGAGACCAATTCATCCGGCGTCCTGACCAAAGCTAAGCTCATGGCAGCACAACAACAACAACTGCTACAACAGCAACACATTCCCTACAGCTGCACCAACACAACACTTAACCACAAGTTCCCCGTAACAAAAACAACGTCTCATGAAGTAGACTTAAGCAGCGCCCGTAACCTCAACTCACACTACATCACCCGTAACCCGTGCCAGTACCTGCACCGGCCGACATCCGCTGCTACCCTGGGGGTGCTGGAGCCTAACCCGGAGACCCTGGACCCTTTCATGGAGATTACCGATGCTCCTATGGAGACCCGGAGCAAGAATATTGATGCGAATGCTGCTAGGAGCAGGAAAATTGGTGCGGCGGGTACAGGAGCAGCGTCATTGGAGCATTTCCTTGGAGCATCGCAGCAGCAGCAGCAGCTTTGTCCCTACGCTGAGCCGGTGCTTAGAGTAGAGGGGCTTAACTCCGTGTCTGCTTACTACAGCGACTATTTTGTCAAACCTGGAGGTGAGTTAGTCTTTAGTCTGCTTACTACAGCGACTATTTTGTCAAACCTGGAGGTGAGATAGTCTTTAGTCTGCTTACTACAGCAACTACCTATGTCTTTATGTAATTAAAATTTTTAGTCTTTATGTTTAATGTAAAATTTTGCAATGAGAGAGCAAATTGCTTTTGGATCAAGAAATATTTATTTTATACTGGCAATATAATGAAAATTAGTTTGATCAATATATATTACATTGCCTATTAAACATGGAGGTTAGAAGAAAAAATTGTTTATGGTTGAGTAACAATAATTATTTCCTGTGGTAATCAAAGTTGACAATTCAGATCTCATTTATTATTATCCCCTTTATTATTTTATTGCTTAATTTACTAAACTTGTTGTCCCTTTTCTAATATATATTTTCCTGCACCCCAGATCACCAGAATTATTTTTTCCTGCACCCCAGATCACCAGAATTATATTTTTCCTGCACCCCAGATCACCAGAATTATATTTTTCCTGCACCCCAGATCACCAGAATTATATTTTTCCTGCACCCCAGATCACCAGAATTATTTTTTCCTGCACCCCAGATCACCAGAATTATATTTTTCCTGCACCCCTGTCTCTTATACACATCTAGATGTGTATAAGAGACAGGAATTATATTTTTCCTGCACCCCAGATCACCAGAATTATATTTTTCCTGCACCCCAGATCACCAGAATTATATTTTTCCTGCACCCCAGATCACCAGAATTATATTTTTCCTGCACCCCAGATCACCAGAATTACATTTTTCCTGCACCCCAGATCACCAGAATTATCTGCACCCCAGATCACCAGAATTACATTTTTCCTGCACCCCAGATCACCAGAATTACATTTTTCCTGCACCCCAGAATTATATTTTTTTCTGCACCCCAGATCACCAGAATTACATTTTTCCTGCACCCCAGAATTATATTTTTCCTGCACCCCAGAATTATATTTTTCCTGCACCCCAGAATTATATTTTTTTCTGCACCCCAGATCACCAGAATTACTTCGGTAACGACGAAGGAGGCTTTGGTCCCGTCGCCATCAGCTACCGACGCGAGCGCATCCCGGCGGACGCGGCGGGGCACAGCACGTCCGCCCTCCACGGCAGCCTGGCAGGCACTGGCGGTTGTGCTGACGGCAGGAGCATAACTCCCTGCTTCCTGCACAGGATCATCATACGCACGGCACAGGTTCCTTCACTTTACTTTATTATTCATAAGATCAGCTAGCATATGTTAAAAATATTAATAAAAGTAAAAAAATAAAAAAAATTAGTATATATTCAAAATATTAATAAATTCTGCAAGTATATGTTCAAAATATTGATAAAAATAAAAAAAATAAAGTGAAAAAACAAGTATATGTTCAAAATATTAATAAGTTCTGCAAGTATATATTAAAAATATTGATAAAAATATTGGTTATTATTGTTAATTTTTTAGTGGGATTTAAATTTAAGTCCTTGCTTGCTGCACAGGATCATCATACGCACCGCGCAGGTTCCTTCACTTTACTTTTTTATTCATAAGATCAGCAAGTATATGTTCTAAATAACAATAAAAATAAAAAATGAAAATAAAAAATAAGTATATATTCAAAATATTAATAAGATTAACAAGTATATGTTCAAAATATCAATAAAAATAAAAATAAAAAATAAGTATATATTCAAAATATTAATAAGATTAACAAGTATATGTTCAAAATATCAATAAAAATAAAAATAAAAAATAAGTATATATTCATAGTATTAATAAGTTCAGCAATTATATGTTCAAAATACTGATAAAAATATTGGTTATTAATGTTACTTTTTGAGTGGGGATTTGTAATGGCTGCTGTAATGGCTCCAAGACTAACGAGTTGTATATATATGTGAAATAATTACCCTAATTAATTAAAATTAATTATTAGAATCTTGTTTGAAATGATTTGTACTGGTACAGTATTTACTAACTAATGGTAGTGTGTGTACAAATGATTAATGGTAAATAGTGTGAAGTTTACTAATGGCAATTAGCTTTGTTGATTTCTAAAGATGAATAATGGTGACTAGCAATGATAAGTATCCTAGAAGCAAGTACCTATATTTAATGATAACTAAATAATGTTAAGAAAATTGATAATTTCTAATTTGAATTAATGTTATTAGCTTTGATGATTTCTAAAGATAAATAATGCTAGCTAATGATGATAAGTATCCTAGAAGCAAGTAATTTAATGGTAACTAAATAATGGTAAGAAAATGTGATGATTTCTAATGATTAATAAAATATTAAATTAATGATGACGATAACTAATTTTAATTAATATTATTGTTATTTATGATGCAGCTGGACTCCCTGCAAGGCTGCCTGGTGGAGTGTCATCTAGGAGGCCCTCTAGGCATCTAGAACCCTCGTGTCATCTAGGAGGCCCTCTAGGCATCTAGAACCCTCGTGTCATCTAGGAGGCCCTCTAGTCATGTAGGTGGTCCTCTAAGTTTGTATGGCATTAGTCCCTAAGGATTAACAGGGTTCCAGAGGACGGAGGTAAATCCCTCACAGTGAATGGATTAAATCCTTGCAGTTGTATTTAGTTTATGGATTTTAAATTCAATCAATCATAGTAACTTGATCACATCCTTCAAGTGGTTCTTTGTGACAGGATTCTTAGTGGCAGGATTTTATTAACAGTGAAATTAATTAAATAAATTGAATTAATTATCATTTACAGACAATTTAGACATTTAAATAATTAATTAAATTAATTAATGTTATTAAATTAATTGTTCATTTGCAGACTATGGAGACGTTGCAGCGGCTGGACGGGCTCAACGACCACCGCACCTTCAAGGTGGGGGTGCTGTACTGCCGCCCCGGCCAGACCTCCGAGGAGCAGATCTACGGCAACAGGTGCTGTGCTTAGTGCTTAGTGGTGTGCTTAGTGCTGTGCTTAGTGCTTATGTGCTGCTCTTAGTGCTTATATGGTGCGCTTAGTGCTGCGCTTAGTGTTGCGCTTAGTGCCTATGTGCTTAGTGCTGTGCTTAGTGCTTATGTGGTGTGCTTAGTGCTTATGCGCTGCACTTAGTGCTCTTGTTGTTAGATAGTACTTAG